CTCAAGAAACTACATAAAGTAGAACAAAATAAAGCGAATGTGTGCAGAAGGAAGAAAATAAAAAAGATACGAACAGAAATCAATGAAAACAAAACAATAAAATAGAGAAAATCAATGAAACAAAGTGGTAGTTCCTTGAAAAGTTCAATAAAATTGATAAATTTAGGAAGACTTACAAAACTGAGAAGGGAGAATTTAAAAATCACCAATAGTTAGAAAAAAAAAAAACAAAAACGGGATATCCCAACATATCCTGCAGCCATTCAAAGGATAATAAATACCGCCAATAACTTTTCACTCATAAATCCGGCAACTTAGAAGAAATGAGCCAATTCCTCAATGACCACAAAGGACCAAAACTCAGCAAAGATGAGACAGATCATCTGAATACTCTTGTAACCATAACTATTTCATAATTAAAAGCTCTAGGAATTATATTCATGTAAAAAGTAAAAAAAAAATAATGCTTCTGAAAATCCCCAGGCCCAGAGAGTGTCACTGGAGGATTCTGTCAAACATTTAATTCGGCACCATTTTTACACAATTCCTTCCAAAAAAACAGAAGAGGAGGGAACACTTCCCAATTCATTTTATGAGGCCATTATTATTCTGATACCAAAACCAGGATTTATTCATCCCCACATGCCAAGCGTATAGGATTTTACAAGCCCATTTTTGTGGCTTTTAGAACATGTGCAAGATTGTGGAGAGTGGAGAATGAAGCTACATATATTTCTTTTTTAGTCAAACTGAGAAAGGAATTTAGAGTTGGAGACAAGATTCAAGATGAATTCTTTTTTTCTCTCTCTCTTTTCAATATGTGATCCGCACATAAATGTCTCAGTTGCGCTCTGTCATTTGCCGTTAGTGACCAACACTGCAACGGAACGTGAAAGCCTGTGGTCGGTCGGGAGCCAAAGTCCAGAGTCCCCCATTTGTTCTGCTATTAGTCAACCTGATTGTACTTGGATAATTAATTAGATGCTATCTGCCTCCGTAACATGGGCCTGCAGGTTTAGTTCCAAGGGGCTCGTTTATGATCATCCATGACAGTAAATAAAGGCAACACTAGTAACTAGGTTTATGTGATTGTGATAAAGTGATTAATGTGCAGGTTTAAAACCAGGCAAGCCTGGGTGCTCCTCCCAATCTGATCAACCCTGAGACCCTGGGTAACTTATTTCTGAACAGGGGTGCTCACAGCTATTTCCCTTGTAAATCTGTGGTGGGAATGAAAAAACGCAATGTTTGTAAATACTTAACATAGCAACTAGCCCCTTAGAGACCTAACTGATGGTGCCTATAATTACTACTAACATGCTTGTGGCCTTAAAAAAATTTTAGGGGTGCCTGGGTGGCTCAGTCAGTTAAGCGTCTGCCTTTGGCTCAGGTCATGATCCCAGAGTCCTGGGATCCAGCCCCACATCAGGCTCCTTGTTCAGCGGGGAGTCTGCTTCTCCCTCTCTCTCTGTCCTGCTCATGCTCTCTCTCTCAAATAAATAAAACCTTTAAAAACAAAACAAAACAAAAGTTTTTAAACCAGAATAAAATCATAGCAACATAGGTATTAACTAAATGCAATATAGTAACTGACTACTAAGTAAGCCTAAAATATAACGAAATGAAAGGCTTGCTCATCAGTACTCCATTTCAGTATTTGATCCATGGGAAAATCCTGTTCTCAGGTGGGACATTCTCACTTCCAAGTCTTTCAAAGCTGGAAGGATTTGAAAACCACAGTCTTTTTAGCTTGAACCTGATAACTGCCTTTCTATGCAGCTTCAGGTCATAGGGGGTACCTGATAATGTTAAATTGACAACATATTTTTTTTTCCATTAGAGACACTTCTGTATTAATGGTTTTTATTTCCCTTGTATATGTAGCTACAAAATCCAAATATCACTGTTCAAATCTACCACTCATAAATGACTCTTGTTTATAATCCCCACCAGTTCTTCCGGAGGCTTAGCACCTTTGGTAGAGTAAAGAGTACAAAAAAATCACCAGGAGGAAGAATTTATGTCCCCCCATTGGGCCTCAGGGTAACTCAAGTGGCCTATTTAGTCAATTGTAGAATATCCGATTTCCTTTATAAAAATCCACTATGTGTAGCTTTAAGGCCTAGGAAAGATGTCGTGACTTACAGAGATTTCAATTTGGTCAAGAATGTAGGACAAAGAAGAAATACTTTTCAATACCGTTAAATAAAGCTTAAGAACAGCGCCAAGAAGCAAACTGGGATTAAGCTCTCATTTGGTTGTAACTGAGGTAAATTTGCTCCACACTAAATGCCTTAACCCTGTGATACAGAGTTTACTGTGATGCAGGCCAAGCAGGACCAGATGAAGGTGGGAGAAGGTCAGGCCCCTGAGAGTCAGGCCATCACTGTGGGATGGTGCCAGACTACCGCTTGTCCCGAGGTCACTTTACAGAGAGAGAGGGCCTATCTTCAACCTCCTCAGGAACTGCGGCTCCCCCAAATAACCACGTTGCCCCTTTGGGAAATCTCTGTTAGTGTCTAAGCTCAGCAAAAGCCCTCCTCACTGTAGTCACGTACTGTCATGGAACCATGGCACGAGCTGGATGGCTGGGATTTTGTCAGCAGAGGTGATTCTTAGTGAGGTCAGGGAACACTGTCTTCCCAAACCTTCAGTAAATTCAACACCGCGGTGGAAACTGCACTGAGATTTTCGGCTCATATTGGGTGTGGTGGTCTCAAAAGCCAGGAGCTCAAAGGTCTCATGTGCATATTGACGCTGTCCCTTCTGGGAGGGTATCATTCATGCATCATTTCCTTTTTCTCATCTCCCCACTCCCCACAGACCACCTTAGCTCCACTCACCTCCTTGACACCTGAAGCACTTCTATTTTGGATACGATACTACTTTAAAATGCACCCTTCTAACTGCGATGACATTACCTCACCTGGGGGCTGGCATTTCCATGGTGATGTGGGAGCATGGGACAAGTCAGTGTCTCCAGGCTGCCATGGAATGTAGTTGGGGCCAGTTAGGTCTCCATGAGATGGGGGGAGGTTCTGCATCCCTAAATTCTCCCACAATGTTTTAAAAAATATAACAAAATGTCATGGTGTTCTTGCTAATATTGACACTCATCAGTGAAGACAGTGGAGAAGGGTCAGGGGGAGCCCAAGGCTTATCCTAAATCTCCTTCTGTTGCCCAGCGAACATATTCATCCAACTGTCTCAGCCCCTCACACAGACCCGGAGTTTTCAGGTTTTAGTAGGTCCCAGAAGGTTTGTAACTGCACGCCTGCGTAGGAACTATACTCAACACAAGGCTGAAATATCTCTTCAGGAAACTGTCAAATAATGGCAGTAAACTAAAACTTGGTCAATCATTATCATTAGATATCCACACCTTTCTTCTACAAGCATTGGTAACCAAAAGGAAAACTTCACAGTGGCCTCTGGACCAGTAGCTAGAAGATCATAAATTAACTCTCTCATAAACATTAGCAGGAGGAATGCAAGCAGCACATTACTATAGTATATATCTAAATTGATAGCATAGTTACCACCACGTGATAGAGAGAACAGCATTTTCCAACAATCAGAGAAAATATTACCAAAATCTTTTCTTAAAATAACTGATCATTTTAAAGCCTTTTGTGTTCGGGACACCTGGGTGGCTCAGTCGGTTGAGCATCTGCCTTCGGCTCAGGTCATGATCTCAAGATCCTCTGACTCTCCCTCTCCCTCTTCTCTCTCTCAAATAAATAAAATCTTTTAAAAAATAATAAAAAAAAAAAACCCTTTTGTGTTCTTATTACTATAAAAATATAAAATCAATTCAGAGGTCAGTGTGTATTTTTCCTCCAAACTATTACAGTGTTGAAACAAAAGACAGTCTCGCTGGCAGCAATACATTTCCTAATTCTTCTCCCACAGACTTTAAGTAGGCCAGGAGCTGAACCAAAGACTCTATACCTATCTGTAGTACAGAGGAACTGAATCATTTCTCCAGTCTGACAAGATGCTAGTCATGTCAGCATTCCTATTCTCAGGGTATCTGTTCTTGGTGTGAACCCTTGGCAAGGACTGTGCTTTTTGTCCGCTTATAAAAATTGTACATCTCCCATATATACCACACGTGTATGTTCATATCACAGATGCATATACATATAATCAGCATAGAGATCCGATGGCAGAACAGCCATTCATGAAGGAGACAGTGGAGCACGTGCTCTAGCACAACCTACTTACGGAAGGCAGGGTCCCCCAGTCAGGCGGTCTTCAGCATGGCAGTGAGCAGTTTCCCCTGCAGAGTGGTCAGCAGGAGGGACACAAGCCTCTCCCTAGCACAAGTCACTCAGCCCTGCTGGGCTCCTGCTGCTCTCTGGGCACAGGCATGCCATTAGGAATGTGCCACAGTAGGGAAAGAGACCGGTTCACTGTGAGACCTGCTACTCACTCTCGTACAGTGTATCGGCCCCCCTTCCCACTGCACAGTGGCTGCCAAGCTCTGGGCGGGAGGCGTGTGGCCCTTGAGAAAGTGAGCCGTGGAGTCAGACTTCCACCGGGGATACGGGCTGCAGTGTCGGGGGCCTTCTTCTAAAGACAGTACTTTTTAGGATGGCTTGGAAACAACCTAATTTGGCCCCCTAGCTTTAGGAACAGGGGAAGGATTTCTTCAGGTTGAAAAGGAAAAAAAAAAAAAAAAGGAAAAGGTATGAACTAGGAAGATAAGGATGTGGTTGGCACTCTGCTTTAAAAGAAATTAAGAAGATCCAGAAGTAATTTATGGAGACTGTATTTAGCATGCATGTCTGGGTACTGGAGTGACATGGGCTTCACCTTCTTGTACCTGTTACTTTTCCACCCAGAGTTAATCCAATGCTCCGTTATCTTGTCCAGGTAAAGGAAATGAGGCGATTTAAACTGCCAAGCTTGGATACTCATCCAAAGAGGACAGCTGAGGTACTGACATGCACAAATCACCGGTTTAGAGGAGGACATGGAAAACAGACTGCAAGTACCTGCTTGTGCCCCCTGTGGTGTTGGCTGACCCCTCTGAGCACTGTACTGAGCGGAGGCCAGGGGCCGGTACTGCTGCGTGTTTGAGGTAGGGTACTGACCAGATGGATAGTAATACACGGACATCTGTGGAAGAAAGAGAAGAACCGCAGGGAGTGAGAAATGTGTACGAAGTAACACTTTAACGTAAAATGTGTGGTCGCCTTATGACATACTACGATTGTAGTAGATTGTAAAGATGGCCACCAAACACTTCACCCTGGCCTATGTGCGTGCATGCTACTCTTCTCATGAAGATGTGAAATCGATTCCCCAAGTCCTTGAATCTGGGCTGGCTCTGGGACTTGCTTTGACCAATGTCATGAGGCAGAAATGGCGACTCTGAGACTTGCAAGCCAGGTCCATAAGAAGACTTGCACTTCTGCTCACACAGGAGGAGCACCCAGCCACCAGGAGAAGAAGTCCAGGTCATGCTGCTGGAGAAAGAGGCCACGTGGAGAAGACAGGCACCCCAGTGGACAGGCTATGCCGACATTCTGGGCATGGGAGCGAGGCCATCTTGGATGTTCCAGCCCCAGTCAAGCTGCCTGAGCCATTACCATATAAACCAGAGCTGAACCATCCCTGCTGAGTTCTGCTCTAGTTGCTGACCTAGTCCTGAGCAACACAATGGTTGTTGTCCTAAAACACTGGATTTTGTGTTTTCAGATGAAGCAAGAGTGAATGAAACAGGGGCGCCTGGGTGGCTCAGGTGGTTAAGCGTCTGACTTCAGCTCAGGTCACGATCCCAGGGACCTGGGAGCAAGTCTACCATCAGACTCCCTGCTCAGCGGGGAGTCTGCTTCTCCCTCTGCCCCGCCCCCCCAACCCGCCCTGGGCTTGTGCTCTTTCTCCATCGCTCACTCTCTCTCTCTCCAATAAATAAATAAGTAAAATCTTTTAAAAAAGGAGGGGGGGATGAAACAGTCATCTACCACAACAAAAAGTTTATGGTAGTTTTAAATATTATATCTAACGAATTCTTTTTCTAATGGAAACTCACGTGAGACGTGAAAACTACTAATCTCTAGCCTATAAGAAGCAGGGGTTGGAATTACAAAATATGGTCAAGTCTATCAAAGCACTTGGCAGAGTGATTGGCACAGAGCCAGTATCCAAGAGAATTTATGTTCAATCTGAAAAAAGAAAATATATTTAAAATAATGTTTGTGTCACCTACTGTCACTTTCTAATGACTGAGAATGGCTGAACATATTCTAATTACTTCCAATAAGATTCCAATCAAATGTCCCTTGATTTGGAGACATTGCCTGCCTCAGTTCATTTATATTAAGGCTGCTCTCTTACTGATCTTGAATAATTTTTCATCTCCAGGCTTCTGACCATTCTTCTATCATCTTCTCGAAAGTGTAAACAGAGGTACACTAGGACCAGCCTACAAGTAAGTATCACATACACAGAATAAAATTACAAGCCACCTATATTTGAGAACAGTGATTTCAATGGTGATTTTATTTTCTGATTTGATCACGTCAAATAGGAAACACTTTTTTATTTCAATCTTGCTATTGAAACACATGTATCATGTTTTCCTGATTTATCATAACATAGGGACAAAAGATAACTTAGAGTGTGTTGAGCTGTGGTTCTGCAATCCCCTGGAATTGTTATGAATTCTAATTCTGTCTGGCAATATGGATATCCAAGGGTAAGAGACTGAACGAGTCTCGAATGAACATGGGTCAGTATTTGGCAACTAACTAATTGTACATTTTGTTTATAGTGATTTTTTCTCCCTATTTCTCCCTTTTTTTGTAAGGCAATTTATAACAATAAAAACCCAAAGAATCCTAGAATAATAACAGGTTTTAGTTACACTCTGGCAAATCATGATGCTATTAAAGATTACTACCATTATACATCAGATGCTTCCTAAAATTAAGAACAAGAGCAACTATTATGGAATTTATTCATGAGCCTTATATTTCCATGTCCTTTAGGAAAAATAAACAGTTTGTTCCCTTAGGAAAATCTGTGACTTGATTCAATGGAAGCTCATAAATATGTTACCCAATCCTTGGTCTTTTCTCTCATATTCAATATGAAACATGAAAATACCTTTAGGGATGTGGGAAAGAGTTCAAACACTTGAAAATTCCCTGATGAGCACTAATGGTTTGGATGAAAGTATAACCTCTTGAAGGAGAGCCTCAATTTTTAGTACTCAGTTGTCCTGGTTTGTTCTTGTATTTTTCTCCCGCCCTACCTCCTTTGATACCCTGCCAGGCTGTGCTAGAGGTCTGGTCACCTCCACTCGGTACCTCTCCCAGGCAGAGCATCAGCCAGCTCTTAGCACTTACATCTCCCAGTCATATGAAGCAAACGGGGCATGGGCACTTGGCTCATCCTCATCCTCCCCCATGGAGGAAGGTGCTGAGTGGGGCTAAGAGGAGGCATCAAAGGATCCAAATGCAAGGTTGGAAGGGAGAAAAGAGTAAGGATAGCTCCCAAGGGGAGAAAATGTTAATTTTTCAACAACTATGTATATTTTAAAACATGGAAAACCAAAATATGAGTAAATTAGAAGAGGAAAGCAATAAATGAGAAAAAAGAAGAAGCCGTATTAAAAAATCTCTTCTCCCACCACCTTCTTCAAGTCCCTCTTTGCCTTGTCCATGTGTTTCTTGCCTCACCTTCCAGGGGGTGTTCAGAAGGCTTACATGACATGGCAGACAAAACTGACTTCAAGGTTATTAAATATTAGGTTCACTTTCTGCATACATTTCATTTATTTCCATATGCCCTTGGACTGTACCTCAAGTTCTTTTCATTGTTCCATAGTTGAGTAATCAAGCTTTAAAATGTTTACTAAATTGAAACGCACAATGGGTTGTATCTTATACCTAAGAAGTTCATGCATGCCCAGACTGACCAGGAACCTTGAACACCTGTTTTGTTTTGTTTTGTTTTTCTACTCTCCTCCCTTTCTTTTTTTTTTTTTTTAAAGATTTTATTTATTTATTTGACAGAGAGAGACACAGCGAGAGAGGGAACACAAGCAGGGGGAGTGAGAGAGGGAGAAGCAGGCTCCCCGCAGAGCAGGGAGCCTGATGTGGGACTCGATCCCAGGACCCTGGGATCATGACCTGAGCCGAAGGCAGTCGCTTAACCGGCTGAGCCACCCAGGCGCCCTACTCTCCTCCCTTTCTATTTCTAAATCTTTTGAAGAAATGTCTGTTGCAGACACACCAGGGGTTCTGAGTTGTCTTTGCTCCTGCAGTGCACTAATAGTGAAATTCATTCATCAAGGAAGACTTTTTATTTTTAAAGTCTTTCAAAAAAATTCTTCAATTAAATATCCTGCCAACTCTTCTCCTTGATAGCAGAAATGGGTAAGAAACACTTAGATGCTGTTTAGGATAAAAGAGCTACACTATTTTTCCCACTAATTAAACTTTAAGTATTTAATTTATTACTAAAATAATTAATACATTATTGAAGCCCTTTCTCCTGTAACTTAAAATTATTTTTTCACATCTCCTTAAATCCTACTGGTCAAGAGATATTGCAGAGAAGAAAACCGAAGATGAACAATTAATTAATCATTCAAAATAAAATGAACAACTGAATGAAAATCATTTCATGGTGAAGCGTTTTGCATGGCTTGAAAAGAAAATAATTTATTCAAGATGTTAAGGCAGTGAAACAAATAATACAAAGGTGACACCGTACTTTAAACAGCTCATCCAATACAATATTTCTTAATTAGGATGGAATTTGCTTGGGATATGTGTGCCTAGAAAATGGACCGGAAAACGCCTCTGTGCATTTTACATCTTGACAGTAATCACTTGCAATATTCTGCAAGGGATACCCAGGAGATCACCAGAGATGTTTGGTGGTGAACAGTAACAGATAATCAGTCTTTGAGAAGACAGTAAAAATCAGTGATCTGTGGTGTCTTACATGCTCAAGTCAATTAAATATGATTAATGACTACCCGTGAGAGCACTCAGGAGCTCTGCTTCCCCCTAGGGAGAGGAAGGGACAGTGGATATCCTCTTTAGCTTCCTCCTTTATATTCCTAGAGGAGCTCCTGCCTGGAGCACCAGATTAGCTCCAGAAAATGCTTAAGGAAAGAGCACATTTCCCGAGCTGCAGCAGGGGAGAGTTGAAAGTCCCTGCAGAGCAGGCTCTCTTCTTCCTTCCTACTTTCCCTTTCTAGGCAGTCCAGTGAGCAGGACCTTGCATGGGAGGGAATGCTTTCCTGCATGGCTCCCGTACCAGCAGCCTGGAAAATGGGACACTCCCCGCACTGTATCATGGGAAGTTGGGTCAGTTTCATTCAACCTACTTTCTGAGCCCCATGGCTTTGCACAACTGCTGAATAGGACAGATCAGGTTCTGGAGGTGGGGAATATCAATATGGACCAGAAAGAGCCACACCAGGTTGACCTGGTGGTAGTCTGTGTGGAAATGTAGATGTCAAAACACCTAGCGAATAAGCTATAGGTCACAGGTGTGAGGAAAAGCACACTCACTTGTGCAGGTGGAGGCTGTTGCACAAAGCCCTGTGGTGAGGGAGGGGCCTGGATGACTTGCTGGGAGATGGGAGGTCCAGAGCCTGAGAACCCCCCCGTAGGGAGCTGCTGGCCTGTAGAGGCAATGACGTAGCTTGGCTGTTGGGTTGGCTGTGCCATGAGGGACGGCGGGTAGACAGGACCAGATGGGGGCTCAGGAGTCTCTCCTGAGGATTGCCGGCTCAGGTTCATCTGGGTGAACTGTGTCGCCACATCGTCTCTCTGCCCAGAAACAAAGAGGAAATTAGCGAGAGCAGCCTAGAAATGGGAGAGGCACACAGAGGCAGACACAGGCCACATGCTTGTCACTGTGGGCAAGGGAGGGCGCACCAATTGGAAACAATAACAGAAAAGGAATTCTCTGTCCAGAACAACAAGAGAACATAATAAGATTTTAATCATCCAGAGGATCAGAGATGGTAAACAATTTGACCAAATCTCCCTCTTCCAATGGAAACAAATCATTATTTTTTCACTAAGGGTTTGAGATCCTCGGGATGGCGCTGAGGCAAGGAGGGCTTGGTGTCCTTGGTCCTGAAAGGTCAGCGGGGCTTCCCAGAAGTAACCACAGTCTCTGCCCTCTGGAGAGAGGCAGAAGCCGTTGTATTCACCATCACCCACAGCTGCTACAGAGATGGAGCCACTATGGTGTCATGATATATTGGGGAGTATTTTTCACTGGCCTGGCCTGAAATTTCGGGGCAATGCTCCTTCTCGATGTCCAAAAGGACCTAGTGCATTGTGGGGAAAGGAAGAAAGAGTGGGGGATCAGGGGGCTAGGGGAACCTCCCACATCAGTAGCACAGAGTGATGACCACCTCAACTAACTTTAAGTTTCCCAAGCTGTCACGCTGAGTTCATATCTCTCTGTTTCTGACTTCAAACTCTCGGGGCATTCAATCCCTGCTTAGTCAGTAAATTCTTAAAAGGGCACCCAATTGCAGAAGCAGCAAACGTGGGACAGATGACAGAATGGCAACCATTATTTTGGAGATGGGTTGCAATGTTCTGGAATGAGACCCCAACTCATGCCCCCTCACAGTCAGCCGGGGGCACCCACCCAGCATCAGCCAGCCCTGCACAGGAAAGTAATAAAACTGGTGGACATGCTCTCCCAGGGGAAAGGTTGCACACATGGAATACGGTACCATGGGGAACTGTTGAGTTGGAGACACTGGCAGGAGATGCTGGGGAGGAAAAGAGACCGCTGGGTATTGCACTGACTGGGAGGAAGCCTGCAGCCCCTGCACCGACTGGAGGAAAGAAAAAGCTGATCAGGTAACGGGGAAGCACTGGGGGTGGAAATCCCACAGGAAGGCTGGCTTATCGGAAGCACACCACCTACACCACCCTACAGGTCCTCTTGGCTCGGTGCACTCCAGAGGGGGGAACCAGCCACCACTGGGAAGTCAACGCCAGGCAGAGCACAGCCAGCCAGCCTTGCAGGATGCATGTTTGCTCAGAGTAAACACTGCCTTCAGAAGTCACTGCGATACTTTTCATGTCATTGTTGTTAGTCAAATCCACTGGGTCTAAAGATACTGTGCAAGGACTGAGAAGTAAGGGAAAAAATTACAAATGAGGTTCACTCTGGCAACCTCCTGGGAATACCACATGTTTCTGTGGCAATTTCCATGTGTTGCTCTAGGAAGGGAGGACCACTCTACATCTCTTGAAGAACAGGCAGGCCACCTCAGAATGGACTGATACCTGTTCTTCCAATTGATGAAGCATTCAGTACTATCCCTTTGCAGACATGAGTCCTTGGTCTGTGTTGGGAATGAGTGAGCAAGATGATACGAAAGCCTGGTTGAGGTTATGGGTTCAGTCTCCCAGACAGGCTCTGTGATGCCTTAAATGTAGCATCTAGACCTCAGAGAAAACTTGGCATTCGTTTTCCCTAGTGCAGTGTGCTCACCATGCAAATCATTGGATGGGGCATTCACGTCTATCTAAACTTGAGGATCCAGATGAAATCTTATCAACTTGCTATCAAGGGTTCTAGGCCGCCAGGTCTTACTTATGAGTGGGTGGAAATGGCCCCAGTGAAAAGTATCACCTCCTCCTAAGGCACCAGTCTCTGCTCTGAGGACTCTGCAGCCTTTGCCTGGGAACACCTGCCCTCCCCGCCTTCCCACCAGCTCCTACCTGAGTGACCAGTGGGCCGGCCATATGTGGCTGGGGTGGCTGAGGAGAAGGCTGTTGCTGCGGCGGTGGCTGGGACTGCGCCATCATCGAGCCTCGCAGGGGCTGCTGGCTGGTGGGGGGGTTGTATATTGCAGGGGTTCCGTCGGGATTCACAAAGGGCTGGCCTGCAATGGAATCGGAGCTGGGTTCAGGTGAGCTCCTTGGTCTCACCTTTAGCAGAAAGAACCATACTGATAGATACGCAACAAGTAACCCAAGGTAAAGGAGCAGGGCGATGGAAATCCAGGACAGCGGAACCTTCACCACCATGAAGACTTTCCTGTTTATGACCTATCTGCTTCAGCTAGCTAACGGTGCGAGCCCAGAGCAATTTAAGAAGCAACGAATAAATCCACTGCCTTCAGGGAGATTTGCTAAAGCTAAGCACGTCTGTACAGTGGCGCCCAGTGGAGAAGGCCTGTGGAGAAGCAATCTTCACGAAGCCGTGTGTTTGCCGCCTGCACCTCTCCATCATCAGCAAGATTGCACACGCTGAGAGATAGGGCTGCCTTCCCTTTATAGAATTCCGGCTACCCTGGGTTACACATTATTTACCAATACACTTGTTTCGCTTCCACTAGCCTTGTTGCCAACTCAGAATGGCAATCAGTGCTACCGATACGTACACAACAGAACATACCACGTCCACACACTCGCTTCTCTAAACAGACACAACAAGGAGCACGCAGGGGTTCAGATTTTGAAGATAATGCATAATACAAGCATCACAGCATCATCTCCTGATGGTGAAGGAAATATACATTGTTTTGCCTTTTGAAATGATGGCATGGCTCACTATTGTTATTACTATTATTTGAGGAGGATTTTATGGTTTACAAAATAGTATCATCAGATCCCCAGCATGACTCTGGGAGGAAGGACAGTATCATCTTCTTATGTTGCACAGGACGCAATGAAGGCCCACCAGAAAGGTCACAGGAAAAAGGAAGGAGTTGAAGGAGCGGCAGATGGAAGTGAGGGAAAGTGGAGGGAAGGAAAGGGAAAACCAATCAAGTTCCAGGGTGGCAGGCACCTTACACACATAGCTCAGCTCTTCCAGTAACCCCGCAGACATGCAATCTCATTCCACTTTAGAGACAAAAAATCAGGGCCTGCATGGGCCAAGCAACTCACTCAGAAAGGCCAAACCAGTATGCGAGAGTCAGGAAATGGCCCTGGTCAGAGTGACTCCAAAGTCCATTCACTTCCCATCACACCAAATAACTTCAGTGGAGTATCCAAGTTTACATAATGTGTACGTGCTACAATGAGGTCTGATGACAAAAATCCAATCATAACTGAAAATCATTAATACGTGAGAAGTCAGGAGGGGTGGGGGCCATGTTTTAAGGTGGAATCACACCCAGGACTGGCAGGTAAAGAATGAGAAGAATCAGAATATTCTGATTTGCATTAAGGGGATATCAGAGGCAGCTTGTTAAGTTCCTCCCAAGCACATAGTTGAAAGCCTCCCCTTACATAGTTTCGGTATGTGGGGTTCACAAGAGCATGTGATGGCTGAGAAAAACAGCCCTTTTCATTAATAATATATATATGAAAAACAACCAAAGATCACCAGTGATGTGTGGAAAATTAGCAACAAAACAGAACAGGTTAGAATGAAAATAAAAAAAAAAAACGGACCCAAACGAGACAGTATTCTAGTGGGAAAAAAAAAATGTGTGGTATCCAACAAGAACAGACTGTTATAAAATTGGAGATAATTAGCCAATATACACCAACTGAAAGAAACCAGCCCCAAAGGGCAGCTATTAGGGAAACGTACAACTGCATTTCTAATACCTTCAAGGTCAGGCAGAACTTAATGGTAATGGAAGTCAGAAAAGTGGGACCTCTCAGGGGGCAGGAGGGAGCCTCCCGGAGGACTAGTCATGTCCTATGTCTCTTCCAGGTATTGTTCACACAGGGGTTCATACATTCAAATACCTGCCAAGGCTACAGGCCAGGTATGTGTGTTTGACAAATTACAGTGAGAAAATATTTTAGAGTAGGTTTGGAGTGCAAACGGGGGGGGTTGTAGTGAAGCCAAACCAATTGCTCCCAGGACTTGATTTCAGACCGATTAGGAACTGTAATGGGAGCCTAGTGTGCCCATCATTGCCCCATATTTTCAGCCCAAATATACATGTGTGTGTGCAACATGAAACCCTTAAATGCTGCATATTCATGAACTAAGGAAATTCTGACAACAGTTTCATAACCAATCACAATGTGCTGTGATGGAAAAGCAAATGTGCCAGAATTATAGTCACAGAACAATGACTAAATTTAGAGATATTTTAAAAAAATGTTAATGTTCTTCATAGGCACTTGTTTTCCTATCACTGTCATTTAATTTTAGCCACATTTAATTGTTTTAAATGCTTTATTTTTTCAAAAATAACTTTCTTCTGGATTTAAAATCTGCAACCCATTTTTTTCTCCCCAAAGCCTCAATTTGGGAAAGAATGAAAAAATAGTTCAATTTCCAAAAATCTATCAGCCCATTTGGTGTTCTAATTCTTAGCCCCCTCCCTTATTTTATATTGCAAAAAGAGGAAAATTCTGGATACCTAGCATTTAAAAAAATCTTCACAGCAACTTTATTTCAAAATCAGTCTCATTCTGTGCTCACACACACACACACACACCACACATATACAGAGATGGAAACTAAAAATAAAATGATCTTTACTATATTTCCTACGACTTCCAATTTACCCCAGTGAGAAGTAAGGTAGCGTGAAAAACAGACCATAATTAGGGTGAAAAACATAACCACAAATTATTCAGGTGTCCTTTTTGATAAATTTTAGATCCTCTGTGTGAAATATTATTAATGTGCTATGAAGCAGACAAAAGAAATGTTTCCAAATAATTGCATATGAAAAGTACTCAGGACTCCCTTGGGTAGAGAGAGGTGGCAGGTTCTTCTGGAAGAGAAGAGAGAGAATAGAAGACTGCTTTTATGCTCACTAAGGAGAGGTGGAAAGACGTGAGAGACTGAAACAAGTAAGATGGATATGCAGGGAAGGGAACAGACATGATTTCCTAAGAGAGTTAGGACAGGCGACTATTGGTTTTCAAGTCAGGCAACGCTGGCCTCTCTAGATGCTGCCATTTCTGTTAGTCCAGATGCAATTACAACTGGATACGGGCAATTAGTTTGAATGACAGCTGCTGAATAACAAAGGGGAAGGAAAGACGATTGGCCCTAGGACCATCCAGCTTAAAAGAGGTTTTCGTGTCCAGAACTGCACGAGCATGCCTGGCAGGCCCTGGCACATGTGTTGGCACAGGTAAAGGGTGCAGGCAAGTCGGGCTGCCACGAGCTGGCCGAGTGCTCATTCCCCTCAATACATGGCCTTAGGTGGAAAACTTCTCCACTTTCCACAACAACATGAATAATGTGCTGTAGATATTATTTTTTTAAAGATTTTATTTATTTATTTTAGAGAGAGAGAGCGAGCAGCGGGGAGGAGCAGAGGGAGAGGGAGAGTCTTAAGCAGACTCCCCGCTGAGGGCAGAGCCCGATGTGGGGCTTCATCTTAGGACCTTGAGATCACAACCTGAGTGGAAACCAAGAGTCGGATGCTAAGCGCCTGCGCCACCCAGGCATCCTGTGCAGTAGATATTATTTTACTATTATATAATTATTGAGCCTTGCATGAAGACTAAGACTTGGTTATCCATTCCAGAGATGCAAAACAAAAACAAAAACAAAAAACCTGATCTGATCCCTCCCCACAAAGAGCTTATAAATATGCTGGTAATGAGGAAATGAACCCAAGGGCAATTCACACTAGAAACAAAGTAATCAAATGCTCTTGGTTTCTAACATGAATGCATTTCTGCCATGTATTTGGCAGAAGGGTATTTATTAAAAAAGATAGAGAGGCATGAGAAAAAGAGATTTTCCTTTCTTAGTCCTTAGAAGGTGATCAATCAAATCATAAGGATGCTGCTGATTATGGATAAGCTAAGGTTAATTCAGATCTCGCAAAGATATGTTGAGGGGCATGTCACACACAAAATCTTCATGGCACATTTAAGAAAGAGGTGGAAAAAAATAAGAAAGAAGTAGAATAGATACCAGAAGCCCTGTGAAAAATACAAAGTGTAGTGTCAGGAGAATCCATCAGGAGCATTTGAAAGAGATGAGCCCTAAAAGGATGCTCAAAGCCAAGTCCCAGCCGATAGCATGCCCTTACATCACTCGCTCGTGAATTTGCGCCAGATGAAGGCAAAGCGAAATGGCAAAACAAGAGATATGGGGATTAATGAGTACTTGGGGGATGTTAATGCTTGTTGGCATCTCTGGATAGCTCTGAATTTAAAGAAAATAGCCAAACAAAGATGAGCTTTCTGCTAAAAATTTCTAAAAGGAGGCCAAGTCAAAGACAGCAGGAAGAAGATCAAACTCAAGAGTCAAACCCAGACTTGCCTTGTGAGGATGAATACATTATACGGGGATAACTTTGAAAAAGAGCCTCTGCAGCAGCTCACTCATCTAGAAGCCTGAAAAGCAAAGAAAGGATAGGCCAGAGGTCCTGAGTTAGATCAGACTGGCTGAGAGCAGAGTCTAAGGCCAGACAAAATAAAATGTTGTGATTGCATTTGGGGAACTGCGAGAATATATGTGGATGGGTTGGTTTCAGGTTGCCGAATACTTGGTACTTAGGAAGAGGCAAGTCAATTGTGCCCACAAAGGAAGTTTCATTTTTGTTTCATTTGGTAGACATGACTGGCAGGCACCTTGGTATTCTCAAATTATTGCTTGTCTTCTGTCTGCTTAAGACAGATACTTTATGAATAAACAGACAAAAAGCAGAATCAGACCTATAAATACAGACAACAGACTGGTGATTGTCAGAGGGAGGGGGGATGAAGGGATGGGCAAAATGGGGGAAGCAGAATGGGAGGTACAGGCTTCCAGCTATGGAATGAGTAAGTCATAGGAATAAAAGACACAGCATAGGGAATCTAATCATTGACACTGCAATCATACTGTATGGTGACAGACAGGAGCTACACTGTGGTGAGCCCAGCATAACAAGCAGAGAAGTTGAATCACTGTGTTGCACACCTGAAACTAATGTAACATTGCGCATCAACTATACTGAAATAAGAAAAAAATTAAGACAGGTATTTTATCATGGTTTCATACATGAACCACATTCTCAAATATATTAGATAAAAAAACTGTTCTACTATGCTCATCCACATATGAGTAGTAGATATTTTTTCAATACTATGTAATTTTTGAGCACAGTGCCTAAGACTACTTTGCTATCCACTCTAGTGAAGTAAAAAAATAGCCAAGGCTGGCCCCTTCCCACAAGGAGCTTATAAATGAGCTGGTAACAGGGAAATGAATCCCAAGGGCTATTCACACAAGAAGTAAAGTAGTCGTATGCCGTTGGCTCCTAACACAAAAGAATTTCTACCACATATTTAGGGAAGGGGAGAGGTGTGGATTTCAGGAGTTCACAGCAATGACAGAGAAAGATGAGTTCCAATCCAAAGGAGGCAAATTTCCAGTTTCAATAGTAGAATCATAGGAGATTAAATAAATAGATGGATGGATAGACAGACAGACAGACATGCACACATACACACCATAGATAGACACATACACACATATATGTATATATGATACATAATGGATCTGTATACACACACACATGCATATTTTCAATTTACAAAAATAAACACATTCTAGGAAAGAAGAAACATCATTTCCCTTCCATCCTACCACTCAACCATGGTATACAATATATTAATACATTTTCTTTCTGGTGTTGGGATATTTTAATGTCAAGCATTTGTCAGATCAGAGAGGTGCATACAGAGAAGCTACTCGACAGTGTGATTAGATCCTTTTCCTTGCTTAGGATCCTTTTTCAAAGGACATATTTTGGTAACAGCTCTAAATGACTGGATCTGATGCATAAGAATTGGGACTTGACACCAAAAAGCACTTTGTTTCTTTTTCTATAAGCAAGATTATACATGATAATATACACATAACACATGCACAACCATTATATCATTACAAATAATATTTCTTCATTATACCCTAAAAAATACTCTGTTGAGCTTTTTTGAAACACGGCAATTTTGCTTAAAACAAATGACTCAAAACTAATGTCTGTGTGTGCTCTTGTCAGCAAGCCTTCCGTCTCAATTAGAAGTGAAGGGATTTAAGCCAACAGAGTCAGACCATCCTTCGATCAGTGCCCAGAGTAATGACTATAATCCTGGTTTTCTTTTAATTTCCTTTTAGTACTTCCAATGATCCAAATAAAATAAAAGCAATCTAATATTCTCCTTAGAAGTATCTCTTCTGAAAGCTTTCAAATGGTTTTCAATAAAATGATTATGCCTTCTTTTCCCTCAAGCTTATGGCATTTTCAAAATGTCTCCATCAAACACCCTGCCTTGAGAATGTGCCATATGTTTTCATGAAAATGTGGCAATTATTCAAGTAACTATTTTACTATCATTCTCATGTTTCTCTGAATTTCCTAATTACTAGTAGTGCTATATACGTGAAAAGATTGAGTCAGATTGCTTTTATGAGATTCTCATTCACTTTTGCTTTTTCAAGTTTAGCTAATCACGGAAATACTCTGGAATCATCGAAACCAAAACTCAGACATTTTTTGAGACAATTCAATTTTTTTCCCAATTACTTCTAAAGGCTTCCAAAGAGGCAACTAGTCAATGTCAAGCCTTCTAACCCAGGGTTTCCCAACCATGGCACTACTGATATTTTTGGCTGGGTAATTCTCTGTTGGAAGGGGCTGTCCTGGGCATTGTAGGATGTTTAGCAGCATGTCTGGCATCTACCTTCTTAGATGTCAGTAGCAACCCCTTCCTCTCTCAGTCATGTTGATCAAAATGTCAGTGGATATTGCAAAATGGCCTTGGAGGCATGGGCACAAATCCCCCTGGTTGAGAAGTTTCCCCCATGAGGCAGATGCTTGTCAGTCTATTTGCCCAATGCTCTGGGTTCTTTGGAATCAGTGTGGATGTTAACTGACCACTAGAGAAATTAAAAAATAAAGAACCATTGATCATGGAAAAAATAATCATTGAAGTTACCAATTTTCCAAACCTCACCAAAACCAGTCTAGTCCTAGGATCCTTAAAATACATAAGAATTTGCTCCCTATGTCCTATTTGTCACTGCTATTCCTTATTCCCCAGGTGGAATTGGGTGAAATTCTAAGGCAAAAGAGCAACTTGTATAGGTAAGAATCTTTTTTTTAAAGATTTTATTTATTTATTTGACAGCAAGAGACACAGTGAGAGAGGGAACACAAGCAGGGGGAGTGGGAGAGGGAGAAGCAGGCTTCCCACTGAGCAGGGAGCCCGATGCAGGGCTCGATCCCAGGGTCCTGGGATCATGACCTGAGCCGAAGGCAGACGCTTAACAACTGAGCCACCCAGGCACCCTATAGGTAAGAATCTGCTATGTGTCCCAATTGATATCTCAAGTTTGTGAAATATCTTGGATGCAAAAACACTTTTGACATAATAAGAAGCTAAGCCGGGATTTAGTCTGCGAAACATGGTATCTTAATTAGTATTTCCCAGATCATCACTTTACGGTCTCTGGTCTTAGCTCCCAGGAATACCTGAGACACACCATGGTCAATACAAAGAGGATAGAGGGAAAAGTGGATATTTCTGGGAAGAATCTCTATTTATAACTACATATCAATATTGATATCAACATAGAGATAGAGATTATAGCTATAGATCTTCTCTTCCTAAATCAAGACCCTACACAGTGGTTCATGCACCTAGCTCTCCTGCTCAGGAATTTTAAGAAAACCTGCTGACGAATTTATAAGCCCCAAACACAAGAACAGAACTCTGATCTTGAGTCCCTGCCATAGCAGAGGTAAGGAACTAACCTGTGTGCGGATTGAGGAGGATGCTTCCGGGCGGGATGCCTGTCGCAGCCTCCAGTGGAAGGAGGATGTAGCTGGTGCTGGGGGCTGCCTGGCCCCCTGCTCCGCCCTCTGGATAGGGCACACAGCCCGGAGAGCCAGCGGCTACGCCCGTAGCCAGGGGCGCGCCCTGCAGGGGTGCGTGGGTGCGGGGCAGAGACCCCGAGGAGCCTGTGCTGCTGTTAGACTCAGAACCTGCCACAGAAGAAAAGGATCAGAAAATCATCCAACGCAGGGAGCTCTGGATCTAAATGCCTAATTTACTTAATCCATCCTTAAACCATTCAAGGTGAGTGCTGCAGGACCAGGGCAACATTTGCGGCTCACATTTTATTGAGATATCTGCTACATATTTTTCAGATGTGTCGATTTCCTAGGAAAAGAGAGGTTAAGAATGAGCACTCTCTTTCAGCCTCTCACATGCCTGTAGGGTGGTACATTGGTAAATGGTACCCTAAAGCTTCGGACTCCATGCCTGGAGATGCCCATCACCCCGAGTAATTAAAGCCAGAGGGCTGTCTTACTGGAGGTAGGAGAATAAAATGCCAGGTGGATATTAAAGAGATTGCAGTTTAAGAAGGAGTCCTAGAATGTGCTGATCATGGCATCGCTCTAACGTATTGGTTCTCCAACATCCATAAAGCTGCATTTTGAAGAGGCATGGCCAGAAATAATCTTTTCCCCTCAGATGTGAGTAGAAGAACTGGGTCACTCCTACTGAGAGTGCTTAAGGTGTGTATTTCACATAGTCACAGAAATCTTACTAATGTGCCCAAGAGGCAGACCAAGAAGGGCTTGGCCTTCATAGAATGCTGGATCATCCTTTAGACAACACAGAAGAGTAAAATCATGGGGAGGATTGTGGACTGTGTATTTTGCAAACATGTAGGTAACTGGATTACAAGGTGGACTCTAACCCAGCCTTCTCCCTCTCCCTCCACTGTGGACAAGGAAACACCTGGTATATCCCACGTCCACTAGGCACTACCTGCCCTTCACCACGACCAGACCTTGACCATGGCTGTTCTGGCACCTGGTATATCCCACGTCCACTAGGCACTACCTGCCCTTCAACACGACCAGACCTTGACCATGGCTGTTCTGGCACCTGGTATATCCCACGTCCACTAGGCACTACCTGCTCTTCACCGTGACCAGACCTTGACCATGGCTGTTCTGGGAACTGAATATTAACCAGAGCGTTGGAGAGAAATTCTAACTAGCAGATGATTTGGATGATATCATATAGTACAAGAAATTTTTAAAATTATTTATTAGCTCACGACTATCGATTTATATCATTAACAATGCATTCTTCTGTGTCATTAAAGGGAAACCATATATAAGGAAGAGTTAACATTGTTTTCAAGATTCTAACATGTGCCCTTGAATTAAACTGGAGACCTTTAAAAATGAGTGATAGGAATACAGCATGTAATTACAGAGAAGAGGGGCCATTGGAGAGAATTTAGAGGAGGACATAGTTTTTGAGAAGGAAGACAGTGATGTTTATTGAGCGCTTAGTATGTGTGAGCACCTGGACATACTGTACTAGTAAGTACTATTACTGGCTATACAGATAGGGAAGTTGAAGGATAGAGAAGTTCGATAACTAAAGCCGACTCGTACAGCTAGTGACAGAGCGGGATGTGAGCTAGACAGACTGATCTAGGTTTAACTGTGACCCAACACTGCTTCCTGAAAGCAAGCATATATGTATGCCAAGGACTGCCACCAGTGTTCTCAGTTGGGAACCTTCTCTTCTTCTCCCATGACTTGATTATTAATAATGATAAAGTTATAGGCTAATTCAGGATGCACCATCTAACAAGTTTAGAATGCTGATGGGTGCTGAGTAATGTATGGGGGAAAAGTAAAGAATCTAAAAGGAGATCTGAAAATGCTAAGAGTAGTTTTGAGAGTGCATCCTGGCATGATGGCCCCAAGGTCGCAGCCCCAGTGCAAACTGCAGGGCGTGTTTGTGAACTCGCCCCATGTGATTTGATGCTACAGTCCAAGTCTGACACTAGTGCGGAGAGAACAACAGCAAAAGCAATAAACAATAACAAAAGCTTCTGCTGCTAAACACTGAAGTTCATACAAAATAGGTTCAGCTCAGCTCCAGGCTGAGGGGTCAGACAGCGGGAAAGGGTTGGGACTAATAGGCATGTCCTGAGTAATTTGAGGAGTCAGCTGATGCTGGCGGGGGAGGAGGGGTTAGGAGAGGGGATGGATGCACACAGCTGATGTGCCACAAGAAAATCCAGAGTGGTTTTTCTTTTTGACTTTCAGAAGATGGCTATTAATCACTGATGTGCAATATCATGTCCTTCTATCAACAGGACAAGAGCAGCACCTTCAACAAGAACAATGAGAATGCAGTGCAAAGACAATGTAAAGAGTCTGTTTCCACAGGTTAAAAGGATAGAAAGGAGACGGATTTAGCTTAAACTCTCCACACTTGCAAAGATGGAGACAGTGAACCCTCTTTAGGGGGGATAGCTCAGCAACCACCATGAAGCCAGGGTTAGTAACTGGCCTTTTTGGTTGGCTTACAACCAGCTTTGAGCAGCCTGTAAACATCAGTCTCTGTTGTGCATACAGCCAGTGTTACTGAAGTTCTTGATCAAAAATGGACGCTAGCAATGGTGATAAAAGGCACAGGATTAGAAATGTTCAAAAAATAAAAAAACCCAAAATTGATATTTGAGAACTTTACTGCTTTGGGCGCTGAGAGTTAAAGTGTGTCCAGTCTCCTTTTCTCAGGGACTTGAATGTTAACAATGGCAAATATTTAAACAGTATGTCTACGTGACAAGTGCTGTGCTAATCACTATGTGAATTACCTAGTTTCATTTTCACAGCAACCTCATTTTGAAAACGAGAACTGATCATCAGAGATGTTAAGTAAATCTCCCAAGCATACTTCATGTGTGGCAGAGTCTGTGTTCAAACCCAGGCAACAGGACCACTTGGACCACGCCTTACTCCAGAGTGACATGTAGGTAGGGCCAGGGGCCTGACCAGGACTGTGCCAAGTTCTAGGAGATACAGCATAGGAAGTCAATGCTGCCCCAAATCAGATGCTTAGAAGTGGAATCTGGACCCTGAGGGGCAGCTGGTGGAAGGTGTAGGGACAAGACTTCAGGATGACTGATGGGGGACTCTGGTGAACAGGAAAGAGAGAGACAGGAAAAAGGAAAAGGGGAAAATGGGGGGGGGAAAGGTCGTGTAAAAGATTGTAAGGCAAAGCAAAATGGAAAACTTACTGGGCAGAGAGGAAACCAAGAGTCGGATGCTTAACTGACTGCATCACCCAGGCACCCCTGAACTGACTACTTCTTTAGACCTTAGTATCCTCTTTTGTAAAATATAAGTCACCAGACTAAATTGTGAGTAGCTATGAGGATGATGGCCTTAAAGTTTTTCTCAGCTTGACCAAACTTTAGACGGGTTTCTTCCAGAGGAGCGTCCCTCTACCTCCTTTTTCTTAGAGCATTTCTGCCCCTTTAGGGTGTAAATCTTCCACTAGCCTCTTAGCCCAGGTATGTCTTTCTTGAGGATTCAGGAGCCATCTCTTTGAAATGTAACAATCAAGAGAACTAGTGCCCTTGTCTGCCAGTTTCTGTGGGAGGGTAGAAAGAAGACTGACTTTGATAAGCACCAATCAGCGAAGATGACTTAGTTGAATTCACCAACCACCTGTCTACCTTTCCCCAGTGCTTTTCCAGTGATTCACTACAGCACTCCCCTGTAAGTCGTTAGTGCAAGGTTGAGTTCAGTCTTTCACCCCTATTGCAGTAGTCTTGACCCTTATTGCCATAGTTATGAACAGAATCTTCCTTGTCTGTTTCTCTTGTCTGATGCAATTCTTCTTTTATAAGGACCCGGAACCATAAGTATTTTTTCCTGAATTAATAATTCAAGAAAATATTTCCAGATTCAGGGCAGAAAATTCAATAGAATGACCTGAAGCTTCTGAAATTACAAGAAGAAAGAGAACATCCAGGATGCATTAGCACTGTAATGAAAATAAACACGAAGAAGAGGAAGTGGTAGAGAGATGAGGTGTCTTGCATTGGCTCCAAAAATACTCCGGAATGTAGACAAGAAGGTGATAACAACAAGAAGACCCTTGGATGCCCAAAACAAAATACCATGCCATGTAAAATTACTAAAACAAAATGTAAGGATATCTTGTTTCTCCAGAGCATTTGTTTTCAAAGCATGATTTGACAACAAGCAATCTGTGTTTTTACAAATCCTTCAGGTGATTCTGGTGCAGCTACAGTCGAGAACCCCTGCTCTGGAGACCGAGAGAGAGGACGATAGTAAAACAATGTCCTCTGACCAGGGTGGAAAGAAATAGATGTCATACTCCTTTCCCAACCTCATAGCTGCAACCAAGAAGCAGCGGAGGTTATGGTACAAGCACCGTTCCTGTCCTCTCCACGAGGAGGATGCTGTGACAAAATGACATCATCTACCTCTGGAGCTGTGTGCTGGGCATCTGGTAGGTGACAGTCACTAAGCTCAGTGTCAGGGATACGATAAGGGAAAGACAGCCCAGGCCTTCAGAGCATGAGCTTCTGCAATAAGCTCCTTCCAAAATGTAGGAAAGCATGTCCCCACCTGGAGAAAGTCTCATCATTATCTATTTAAAGCTCAAACCTATGTAATTAGAGGAGGAGAAGAGTAACTTAAATGTCACAACTCCAGGCTTGATTTCTGAAAGGTCAAAAAAAGAGTTTGCAATTCCACTGCGAATAATGAGGCAAAAAATTGAAAACTTGTGCTGTTCTGAAGATCCATGACAGCAAAACTGACAGCTTTGCTTCATAAAACCATCTTGGGAAATTGTAAGCTTGTTTTGACATTCTATCTTGATCGCCTTTAATTTTTTTTCTTCTTCTTCTTCTTCTTTTTTTTTTTTTTTTTTTTGCTTTCCGTTCCTGCACCTTGACAAGCTTTCAAAAGGAGACACTTAGATTAAAAGGGAAAAAAAATGTCTGAAGCACTTACAATTTCTAATCATTCTTCAAAGAACATGGCATTTTAGCATTCTTGAAGTGTTTTAAATGTTTCCAAAGAGCTTTTCTTTGGAAGTGATTGGGGGTTTGGTGTATGGAGAATGACGATTAATTTAAAAATCTTAAGAGCTCTTTTGGTGTGCTGGCATTTTTAAGTGCACCATTTAAGGTCCTTGGTTTCTGCATTTTAAGGAGATTTAAAACTATTTAACCTTTCTTAGTTTACAAGAGCTCGAGAACACCACAGTGGGTTTTCTTGACTTCAGTTGCCGCAATAGTGGGATATAAGAGCAATTAATTAGAGTAAGACATCAAGAATTCACCATTGGTGATATGACAGAAGGCAGAAGGCAGTGTGAGCCCACCTGAATCTTTCCAAGGAGAAGGAAATATGTATATATATAGTAGTGTCTGTGACTAAATGCTATTAGTTTTCTGCCTGTGTAGGAAAACACGAGATAATTTCTTAGGAGCATTTTCAACAACATAATTATCTTAAACCATTAGCATAATAAGCCTAGATTTCACAAAGAGTGCCCCCTAGCGTGAGTATGAAGCTTGAATAGGAAAGTATTCTCAAATTAGGACAACCATGTCTAATCTCTGGTCAGTGTTGGCCATTCACCATCCCCGTCCCTGCCCTGCAAGCCCAGGTCTGTGAAAGCACCCCCAGTGTGTCTGACATCCAGGGCGTGTCGCTGAATCACAGCTCTCGACCCCCACCCTAGCTCCGAACTTCTGAGGCAAAACCAAAACCAAACAGAAACATTACAAATTATCATCACACACTGAATTCATGGAGAACTACTGACGGGTCATCTGTTACTGTCCCGGGATTCTAAGAGGTACTTTGATTGAGAACATTTAAAAATAATTTGGAAACAATGGTGAGGGATTTTGGAGACGGAGGAGCTAGAGATGGCAGACCATGATGGGGATTTTTGGACTCATATGAACCCCATGGTATTAAAGCTTCCATCAGTTTAAAGTTGTTTCCAGGTCATGGTTCTCATTAGTGCTCACCTCCCAAAGACTGTCCATGCAAACTTGAACTACCTACCTCAAATGATCACTATTCACTTAGAAGAAAACACAAGGTTAAAAAAAAAGAGATACCTGCACCTGGCTACTTGGAACTCTAAGCCTTTCTGAGGCTCACTTTCCCTGTGGCAGTAATAAAAATAAACATGAACTCATGTTTATTGAGGGCTTATAACCTGCCAGGTATTATTCTAACTGCTTTGTGTATATTAACTCTTTTAGTCTTCAAATAACCTTGCAATATAGGGACTACAATTATTCCCATTTCTCAGATGAGGAAACCAGGACACAAATAGGTTAAATAACTTGCCCACAATCAGACTAACAGCATGCCAAAGCAGCGGCCAAAACTATTAATATTATAATTGCCTTCCAGTGTGGTTTTAAGAAATCGATCATAGTATTAAATTAAAAACAATAGCTAGCTTTCGTTAAATAGTTACCTTGTGCAGGTGCCTTGGTAACCATTTGTATATAACTAATTGAAATTTAACATACAATAGTTTGCTGGCGCGGTGGGGAGTGGGTAACATCATATTCTATAATAACCTATGTTTCATAGTGTGAAAGTTGAAATGACATGGGGCACTTATATCAAGAGGTTTTCAAATGGAGTCAGGAGGCCATTAAGTAGATGGGCGTTTGACACATCCTCACCTGTAGAACCATGAACTTTTGAACCGGGCCAAACTGCAAAAATGCCAGCCCAAACACCTACAACATGCTACAGTAAGAGACGGCTTAGGGATAGCCTTTGAAACTAATTATAGTCAATCAAAATCAGAGTTGTGCCACCAACACCAATCAAAAATTCTTTGTAAACAAGCATTCCCTTCTTGCTTTAAAAACCCCTGATTTTGCTCCCAACTGGGACACCATTTAGGTTGTTACCCATATCTGTGTACCCTGAATTGCAATGCTTTGATCCCAAATAAATGCTCTTGCTCAATTATTGCCTCCTGACAATTTTAGGTTGACAACAGATAAGGAAACCGAAGATTAGAGAGGTTGGTAATTTGACCTAGGCACACAGCTAGGAAGAGACAGGGTTGGTATTTTCATTGCGCCTTCTGACTTCCCAGGTATCCCAGCAATTAATATCATCATCATTAATTAACCAGAAACCACAGGGAATAATGACTGTATGGGTTGGGTGGAATCTAGGAAATACATCAGGACATAAACCCATTCAGTACTAACTACCTGCTTTGGACAATTTCCCGGTACTCCTGGTACTGGATGTGCTGTCACCCCTGGTCAGCACCGTGATGCCCCCAAAACTTGCCGTCTTGGTCATGGCGGGCTTGAGATTGCGGTTGGAGCTGTCAGAGTCTGTGCTGCTCCAGGCCCTCTGATGGTCCGGCCACTTGAGCTCATTCTCCGAGCTGCTCTGTCGACTCCCGGATGTTCTCCCTGAGCCATCTCTGTTGCCCCTGGAGCACAGCCATCGGAAAGATGCACAGGGACAGTGTTACATTCCATGAGAGGTATGGATCTAGAGGTGGACCTTTCTTGGAAGAGCCGTCTACACAAGACCCTTCTTGCAACCCTTTCCATTAAGCCTGTTGCCTCACAAACTGTGCCACAGATAGCTCGTTGATGGGCAGACAGATAACATACCACACATAATGTCATGTTTACAAACAGAAAAACCAAACCTAGAAATGTCAAACCATCCCTCTGCCAGTGAAGGAGAAATAAGTAGAAAAGACTTGGTATAAAATACAGTTGTTAACTTCTCTTATGGAGAGGAAAGGAGGATAAATTCTCCTGACCCAAGTCAACAATGAATCAAGGTTTGGGACCAATTATGATCTTGAATGATTCTGAAAGCAACTCCCACTGAAGACAAGTTTGTCTGTCCCTTTAGCATTAAATAATGGACCGTGAGAAAATGCACACAGAGGCAGTGAAGCCATTTATTATTTTCTAACTTGATGAGATGTCTATCTGAATTCATTAAGGCTTTGGCAGTCAGCACAGAAATCACGGAAATTACTCTGTTGACCTAGGGTAAGAGTTTTGCCCGATGAGTTTAACCTTCATGGGCAGAGGAAAGTGTCTTTTAATCCTTTTCACATAGAAAAACTTGTGATAATAACAACACCAGTATAAACACTACACTGACAGGACACTTTCCAAGGGGATCAATGGAAATAACAAAGCTCCATAGGTGAAAGAACACATTGGTTCAAAATCCAAATTGAGAAAGAGTGAATGTACGGGAAGAGGTCCAATAGACAGATGTGCTTTCTGAAGACTCCAGAATATCTCTAAGTAGAACACAAAATTACATGTGTTTTATAGAGAAAGTTGATGAAATTTGCATTTTCATTGGTTTCCAATCTGCTTAAAGAGGAACTTAGTGAATATTTTCAAAGCTTTTCCTGCAGTTGGAAATAAGACATGATTAAAATACTCTAAGATCCTCATGGATTATAAATAAGTAAAGGGGACATAAATCATGGGCAATAGATACAACCCATAATTTCATTATCACTAAACAATATGACGTGCTCAAGTGTTGATCCAAATCTCACAGATGTGGTCAGTAGCTTTGTTAATAGATAGTCTTCTAAAGACAAAAATAGACTGCGGAGATGTTAGGAGTGTGTGCATCTGATCGAAATGCTCACCAACAAAATTGTACAGAAGGTACACAGAAAATGTTCACTTTTGTTTCAACTTTACCTAATAAACTTTTCTTTTGTTTTATGAGAACTTAAGAAGGTAAATGGATCCAAGAGATAAAAAAAATGAAATGGCTCATCTATGATAGGAACTTTGTAAAATGAGGGGAGGATAGAAAACTCACAAAACAAAAAGCACTCAGTGCCCTGCTGTCCTGCATCAATGTTTTCTTACAGTCTCTCTGTTAGCACCTCAGGATGGCTGGGTTTGGAAGGAGGAACTAAAAACAGACCAGATTGTGAGCAGAAAGTATCACACACTCACCAATGGTCAGATGGCTTGAGTTCTTAAAACTCCTTTGAAATTCAAGAAAGCCAGAGAAGGTGGGGGTAGAGGGAAAAAACCCAGCCTCTTCGAGGGTGTGGTGTTCCATTCCTGATTGTTTTCCTTTCAAGTACCAAATTCAACTTTACTCTTTTCACATTTAATTCTGATTAATTTGATCGGTCTTTGACAAAGCTTGGCAAAATCATTATTTAGCCACTGTGAATGCACCAGGGATGTGACAATAGTCTCACTTGGAGCTAATGGGGAATATTGCATATAGGAAAAGATTTGGGGTAGTCCTTAGCCTCAGCATACAAGATGCCTCAGAAGGAAGCTCTCCATATGCAGGTGATGATCATGAACTCTGCTTGAGTTTCTCTCTCCCTATGCCCCCTGCACCTCCGTGGGAGGAAATGCCAGTGTGGCTGACCTGTCTGCAAAGCAGTGTCCACCACTATTCCTGGGTGCAAACTAGTGTGCTGGAGTTTGCAGGCTTCACTCTGGCCATGGGTAACTCCTCTAGACTCGTCCCACACCCTTGGCCAATAAGGCAACCTAAGATTTCCTTGACTTCTTCTACCTCTATTCTCCACCAGTTCAAATCAGCATCCCAAAGTCAAGAGCTCTCAAAATTCCCAAAAGAGGGAATTTAAGTTGCTGCTTTAGAGTTAGCATTAATGAGTGCATCTAATTCTGATTTATGGATCTCTATTTATACACTGAAACAATATTTTATAGCTCTACCTACTGATTATTCACCTTAGCACTGGCAAAATGAGGTCCAGAATTGAATTTCCTATCTATTTGTGTATAGAATCATAGACCTCATAGACAAACATAACCACAAGTGCCTTCCTATCCCTCCTAAGCCCAGTCTTGGTCCCTTCCTACCAGAAACCAGGAAGACAATAGTAATGAGGTGTCTGGTCATCAAGAGGAGTTGGTCCTTGTGTATGTAATGAGAATTTGATCCCAGAGTGGTCATAAAGCACATACTTGAAGTTCTGTTTCTGTGCTGATTAATATAACTAACAACATTTATTTTCCTTCATGTCTGTACATGGTATTTTTTTTTACCAAGTTAGATATGATGTACACTTTGAGTTGCTTTTACTATTGTGTGGATGTCTTTGTGCTAAGTCATATTCCTGAGTTTCTGTGCTTGGTGACTCGGTGGGTGATGGCACTCACATTTGTAATGACTGATCTGAGTAGATGGTAACTGTGGCTAGGGACCGGATTTGGAGCTATGTGAAACCAATTGGCCTAGAGGGGCAAGAACCCACATTTCATATATTTATCAGCCTAAGCAGGCCAGATCTGGTGTGAGTACAGGAGTACTAATAAATTCTTCTTGCTCTTCTTTGGGTTTTCAAAGGAACAATGCAGAGTTATTGTTTTAATTTACAAGTGTGATAATAAATGGTCTATCAATACAAGGGGAAGGCATTAGACTATGTAGTTCAGCCTAGAAAAATGAAGGACATTTTTTTAAAAATCTTTTTATTCCTGCCAAAGTATGAGGGGAACAAATTAATCCAACTTTTCTAATGATGAGGTCCTAAATTCACATTTACTACAAAAAGATACTTTTTGAGCACACAATCCGTTTTTTTCCTTAGTCTTTTCTTCCTTCTAAGTGGGCAAGAGGTTTTGTTTGTTTGTAAATGAGTAAGTTTTCTCTCTCCTGCAACAGAGATGAATCCTAATATTCATCAAAGCAGTAACGTATTAAATATATGCATTACATATTGAGTACATTGATAACGCTGTGTATCCTTTTTGCCCTATAATGAATATTAGAGGTATATTTAATAGGGTAGTGACAACATGGGTATGGTCCCTCTGTTTTCATGGAGCTTCCAGCCTAGTATATAACTTAAAATATACAATATTAATATATAATAACTACATATACATCCATTCTCTTTATCTTACACAGATCTTGATTTAAGTAATTCATCATAATTGGAAGCAATCCTGTACCTTCCCTTGGAAATAAAATCTGTGCTTGAAAAACATATTTGAAATATTATGATGGATAATCATAATAAATCAACTACTCAAATGGAGTTATCATTGGTGTTTTTTTCCAGTATCAAGCATGTATATATAATTGCAAACTATCAGAGAAATTTTAACTTGGTGTAATTCACCAAAGTTGAATCTTAAATCAGTGTACTGCCAAAGTTAACCTTTGAGGGGAAAACAAAAACAAAAACAAAAAACCCACCAAAAATGGAAAATCAGAGGAAGAACCTGAAAGGATTATATACCAAGCAGTAATTTCCTGGTCCCATAGCTCAGCATTATCCAATATGGCTTCAGTACCAGCTCTGTAACAAGCTTTACAAAGATAGAACCAAACATATTTATTTCATGAACAGATATTTTACACTAATACACTTATATTTAACATTGATTCTGCCACATAATCTGAAAACACAGTTTTAAAAAAGTAAGCCATACCAACCGAAAGAGCTGTCTTTTCTTATAGGTCTCATTGCATATGTTACTGTCTTCCAAGAGCCTACTGGAAATGAAAAACATGGTTTTTATGATATAAAACCTAATGACTCTAAAGGCCCTGTGCTAAATGGATGTGTACTCTTTTGTAACAGTACTGCTCTTGCAAACCAACCCCGTGGACTATGTTTTAGGTGCATGATATTGAATTTTGCAATAATAAATTAATGACAGCATGATTTTTCCCCTATCCTAGGATTGAGGTACCAATACTAGATAAAAAGGAAAGGAAGAAGAAATAGAACAAATGGAAGAGGGGGAAAATAAAAGAAATTGATGTTTAATAGATATTTAATTAAATATACTCATTGTGATTTTTTTTTTCCTTTGGGTAATATTAAAGTTATCTTTTTTTATTTTTTATTTTTTAAAAAATATTTTATTTATTTATTTGACAGAGAGAGACAGCGAGAGCAGGAACACAAGCAGGGGAAGTGGGAGAGGGAGAAGCAGGCTTCCCGCGGAGCAGGGACCCTGATGCAGGGCTCGATCCCAGGGTCCTGGGATCATGACCTGAGCCGAAGGCAGACGCTTAACGACTGAGCCACCCAAGCGCCCCTAAAGTTATCTTTTTTTTGGGGGGGGTTGCAGAGAATGAAATACTGACATTCCAAAGGGGAATTTACTCAATTAAATTTTTGCTTTTTGGAAATATCAAGACTTGTTCGTATATGCAATGCATGTATGTGACCAATTATTGTAATGATGAATATAATTCAATTTGAATCTAAGGAACACTTAAAGTGCATTAGCAGTCTTTTTATGCAAGATCCAAGTAAATGAATAAAATTTGGGCATAAGGCAGGGAAAATGATTGGCTGGATGACTAGGGAATAAGGTTTCCCACGAAACTGAATTATAAACACTCACTTCATCGTTTTAGTTAGAATATAGAATTTTGGAATGCTTCATCATCATCCCTAAGATGTTAGTGCTCATGGATTCTTAATTTAACTGTAAATAGAGAATATTCATGTAAATCTGAATGGATTTTTGAGGTTGCTTTTGAATGCCTTCTTTAGACATGTTTTCTACTTTCATCTATTCTTCTAGAAGAGGCTGTTCAATGAGGGGGTTAGCTACTCAAAGATTTCTAACTGCTAATATTAAAGATAGCTTTTTCCCCCCAAGCATCTCTAATGCCCAGTTTAAATTTTCTCTAAGTACTAGAATTTAATCAAACTGCCTCCATTTTAATCAGTTTTACAGGGGCACCCATTAAGCCGACCCCTGAAATAAAGTTAAGCACCACTTTCTGAAGGGATACCATATTTCCATTCCAACTTGCCCACTCTGCTGCACCTTAAATGTGATTAAAACAGTTAGTGTGGAATTCTTGAATTCCCCTTGAAAACCTGCAATTAAATCAATGGAGCATTTCAATATCTATGTCAGTTTAGAACTATTTCTTAGAAGTATATGTTAAATTTGAAAACCTTTGGCTCATATGCTCAAGACTTTGTATAAGTTGTGTAACCCATTCATCCCTGCTAACTCCCAAGTTAGTAAATTTAGATCAGTTTAGATAGATTTCCAAGTTAGATTAATAGGTTGTTTAGAGTGAGAAACTTAAAACAATATTATTCCAATCATTGTTTGCATAGCTGTATATAATTATGGGGCACAGGAAGTGGCTAATGATACCCAATATACAAATACAGTGAACAGTCTCGTCCATAAGCCAATGAAATTGCAAGTTCATTTATGCTTTGTAATGCCTGGTAAAGGTAACAGGAAATAGACCTCTGGAAGGACCAGAAGTCGAGACTTTACATAAGGAAAATGTACAAACTTATGTTTGGAAGTAACAGAAAAATATTTCCCCAAATTAAATAGTTTTTATGCATGCTAAATAACATACATGTGTACGCATATAAGTGTGTATGCGTAGATATATGTATTTACTTATACATATATTCAAGCACACACTTATATATGGGATATATACCTATGAATATACAGGACACACATGACAGACTTTGTTCCTCTAAAGACATGAAAAAGCAAATTTCATTTTACCTGTTTTCCACAAAAAGGCTTTCCTGGGAGCAAACTGACTGAAAAATAAAAAAAGGCATTGTATCAGACGTTCTGGATGTGCTGAGGGATCCCAAATCCTTGCCTGCTTTTAAAACTACTTTTCCCCTCCAAGAGGAAAAGAATTAAGAAAAATATGTACTATGTTTTGAAAAAGTGGAAATAAAAAAGGAAAAAAAAATGGTTAGAGTTAGAAGTGTAAACCATTCTCTTTCTCTTTCAGCACACAAGTACTTTTCCATCACGGCATCTCCAGGTTACGGATAGACTTAGCCCGTTTAGCATCAAGGTCAGGAGAAGAGAGATGTGAATGAAACTGTCTGAGAATCAGAGAACCATGTGACCATCGGATCCTGAGCTAGCAGTTTCTTCTGGGGCTACGGAGATGCAGCTCCCAACAAGAGCCAAAGGACTGGTTCAAATCAAGGCAGAGCACGTGCACTTAGCACGATCCACCCTGAGGATGGGAGAGCCATAGAACCACAATCCTGCAGTTATGACCTGGCAATGATAGACTCTCTTGAAATAAACAGACTGACTGCAAGACTCTCAAAATTGAAGAGATGCCATCAATCAATTTGCAGGGGGGGGGGGGGTGGCGCAGAAGACATGTGGGAACAAAATGAAGCTAATCAGGAAAAAAAAATGTCAAGCCCATCTAATATTTTGTTTTGTTCTGTTTTTCACACAGAAAAACAATGACTTTCTTCTTAGCTTCCATTCCCCTAGCTATCACTTCTCCACTATCTTGTGTTTAATACACATAAGGAGGAGAAAATTCCATTACCATTACAAGCTGGGAAAGGCAAATTAAATTTTAACAAGCAGAAAAAGAGAAGTCTAAACCAAATATGGTGCAATGGCCCTATAACATAGTGACTGTGTTTAGGAATTAACAAAAAACCATTTTCAAAGTACTGAGTTTCTAACCATAAATATATATGCCATATTATATGTGCAGATTTTCTAAATGATGAATAAATGACCTGCTAAAGGAGACTTAACAGGTCCATTTTAAGAGAAAATAAAACTAAAGTAAATAAGGACCTTTTAATATCGAATTTTTAAAAGATTAGCTAATGTAACCACTACTCAGAGAGGAAAGCAGGATATTGGTTTCTCTGTACATTTTGTTGAAGAAATCATTTCCTTCCACTAAACCAAAGGGCTAGCTTTGGGCATAACATGTTTTCCTCAGTGGTCTGAATGTTTCAGTGAGGGCATCTCTAGAACCATTTGTAATTTAACCTTTGTGAATTTAACATGCATCCTGAGTATCAAGTGCACAAAAATCTTATTTAACAAAAAGCAAAAAGCCAATTAAGAAAAAAGCTTTTCAGAAAATATCTTTTTTTTTTAGTTTTTTTTTTAATTTGACATTTGTATTTATAAACAAATACAACTTGTGGACCACTGATATTATTCCTGTGGAGATCTCTTTATAGTAAGTGAAATATCCCACTATCTTCATTTCCTTTAGTTTGGTTTTACTCCCACTTTCAATCAAGTCATGGAATTAATTGTCTCAAGTATACATTATGAACTCAATACTTTGCTACTACTCAGCTCTTGTAGTTGGGAAGAGGTCAATTATGTTTATAATGTTCTGGCTGGATAATGGAATTGTTGAAACTTTACTACTTCTTTAAAAGAGTTGATCAAAGACATACTGACCTCTTCAGACTCATTAATCCAATAGTATTTTGAGGGAAGTTAAGCTGCCATAACTCTTTGAATGAAAAAATAAGGCACCTGCAAGTTGAAGATAACTTTCCCAAAAACGTATCTCAAGAGTATTTTTCAATTTTTGTGCAAAGGTCCTAAAGATTTATCGCATGATCTTCCAACACAGTTTCATAAATAAGGCAGATATGGTTATGGGCTGTGATTCAGTAGCTGATGAAAATAAACTTTAAAAAAGTTATTAATATAACTTGTGAATTTTAATAGCAGAGAAAGATAAAAGTGTCACCGTAATTAAGTGCAGCATTCAAAGCTGTCACTTATATGCATTCTCAGATATAAAGGGCTCTTTTTTTCTTTCTTTTAAGTAGAAAATAGTTTTGCCTAATGGGTTACAGAATTCTCTCCCACACCCCACTCCCAATCCAGGTGGCATCACATGCCCTTCTCCATGGTTGTCACGGAAGAGAGATCCCAGTGCATGCTGGGGAGACTGCGGATGAGCTCCTCCCAGAATCCCTACTTACACATAAATATCTTTCAGAAACCATCCTCCAGACAAAACATGTCTTTCTCAAATATATTGCTTTAGCAACGTAACTTGCCAAAGCCAGCAACATTGCATTGAATTAATCATAAAATAAGCTGAAATTCTTGCTGAAGGAAACAAGAGTTATATTTCAAATATTTCTGACTACAAAAATACACTCACTTTTTATTTGAGAACTAAATTGTTGTGTGCCTTGACTTACAACAACTTCATTCTCAAATAATAAATGTGCCTTACCTCAGGCTACCCAAATTCTCAAACTATATTGAAATTATTTTTCTAGAAAATCCTCAAATAATCTGCATATTTTGATTGTGGACCTAAATAAAAAAGCACACATGCACGCGCACACACACAAACACACACACCTTAGACACCAAGATACATTTGTAAAATATTCAAGAATGCTACTAATGTTAAAATAAATTTTGATTTTGCTAAAGTGTAAATACCAGGAAGTAGTTCTCTATAACTATTGTAACTTCGAGTAGGAAAAAACAAACAAAACCCCAAAAAAACCCTCTACGTAAATATGTCACTATTTGAACCTGTTTGAATGACTCCACTACTTACATAATCATTGGTAAGTGAAGCTGCTTTTATTACCTCAGTTTTTAAATCATGAAGACACTAAATTAAAGGCCAGCTAAGAAAGACATTAGATGCCTGTAACTTAGTTTCCTTATGCTGGATTCTTTGCATCGCTTTTATAATTGACTTACTATACTTGACTTATTACCTTGTGTCCCTTGACAATCTGGGAAGTAGTAATGGTCATTTGGGAATCTGGAATTATACAGATGAAGACTCCCTAAAATGTTCTCTCTTTACGTAAGTGGAAAGGAAGATGTGTTACTATAGGTATTCAAGGAAGTTCATATTGTTATGTTATGTCCCTGTGTTTGCATTAATAAAAGATACAGTAATATCTTGTTAACACCTGATGGCCCCCAATGATCCTTGCTTCTCGGTATTCACAACCAAGGTTTTTTTTCTAGTACTTCCACATTGTACCAGTTGGATCTGTGTGTTCAACCAAATACAGCAGAAGGGAAGGTATGTCAGCTCCAAAATTAGGTTATAAAAGCCTGTAGCTTCCATCTTGGGCTCTCTTTATTTCTCTCTTGGATCACTTGCTCTGGGGAAGCCAGTTGCCAGGTCATAAAGATGCTCACTGGGCTTTGGAGAGGCCCACATAGTGGGAATTGAGATCTCCAGTAGCCCACTAGGAACTGAGGCCTGCCGAAAACCATGCAGGTGAGTTTGGAAGCAGACAACCACTCCATCAAGCCTTCAGAAGACCACAGCCCCAGCTGATGGCTTGACTGTAACCTCACGAAAGACTGTGAGCCAGACCTGGCCAGCTAAGCCACCCTCTAATTCCTGATCCCCAGCAACTGTGAGGCAAAAAGCATTTTGTGTGTTTGTTTTAAGCTGTCAAGTTTGGGGATAATCTGTTACGCAGCAATTAATAGCGAAACACAGGGAACACCAACCTTATGACAGCATTATTTCTACAGAGCTGCAGGGCTAGGGAGAAAGCATTGGGCATCTTTTTTTTTTTCCCCTCTGGGAAAGTGGCTTTTAACCTTGTAAGGGTGATGAAAACTTGTAAAACTATGATAAACAATCAAGATCTCTTCCTTAGGAAAATGTACCTACACTCAGGGACATAATATTTTGCAGATGATGTCGGGGACTTTATTTAATCTCTGAAGCCTTTCTAGGAGTATACTCTGGGTGCAGGATGCCAATTAAAAAAACCCAGCCCCAGGAGAAGATCAGGTGGAAAAGTAGTGCCAGAAACAGGCAGGTGCTCCACTTGAATTAATAACCCCGGGAGTGTTGGCCACCAGAGAGCCTTTCACAGCAGCTCACACCTCTACTCTACTCCTGCAGGGGAAAGAAGCCACAGTATTTCGAAGAAGGCTGCCAAATGATGCCATGGATTGGGAAGGCCATTGCAATAGCTTGGCATTTAAGCTTTCCCACACTTCAGTCTGCTTTCACTTTTCTTTTTTTTCTCAAGTAAGCTCCATGCCCAGCATGGAACCCAATTAAGGGCTCAAACTCATGACCCTGAGATCAAGACCTGAGCTGAGGTCAAGAATCGAATGCTCAACCAACTGAGCCACCCAGGTGCCCCCAGTCTGCTTTCACTGTTTTAAAAAATGTTAATTCAGCAGTTAGCTATCGAGGCTTGAAACAGTAATGCTTGCCTCGGATCTTTAACCCGGGGCCCAGGCTCCTTGCTGTTGATCTCCTTAGTAGGACTGTTGGGAAATGCAATGTGTACAGCGAGTCATGCTGGCCCTCTGGGGAGGGTCTCTGTGGACACGGGGGTGCACACATGAACGGCAGCAGCACAAGAAGCATCCTCCTCATAGGCAAGCATCAAGGGTGCTTTTCCTGTTGCCTAGCCTTGAGAGTCTGGCAATGTGGCGCGGCTTTGGGGAAAAAAAGCATAATGTTTGTATATTTATCTGGGTGATTAGTATTTGCTTTTCAACACAACTCATTTATAAATTTTATGACTTGCCAAAATGAGAATCAGAGGGCAATTGTGTGTGTGTGAGTGTGTGTGTGTGTGTGTGTGTAAGGCGGGGGAGGGAAGGATGGGGAGAGAGAAAGCATAAAAAATAAACTGGCCTTCAGAAAACCTCCTCTCCATGAAGCTTATCGGACAGAAACACACTGCCTCCCTGTCCACTCGGGCCACCCCTACGCTACTGTGAGTACAACAGAGCCTCTCCTTACTTCGTCCTTTTATCCAGGAAACACAATTAAAAGCCTACCATGTGTCAGGCTATCCTTTGCACCACCAATAACTTAATCATAAGAAAAGTCTAAGTAGCCCACACATATGCAGAATCTTCTAGGATTGCACGTGGGCAGTTATCCTTCTACAGCTCCCTCTCTCAGACTCTGCTAACTCCAGAGCTCTGAGCCAGATTATTCAATCATTAAAGTTCTATTTTATTGTATCCAAGAAATGCAGTGAGGATCTAGAAGAGATCACAGAAACCTGTGTCAACATGAAAGAAACGCACTGTTGGTGGAATTTGAATTTCCTCTGCAGCTTCATGCTGAAGGATCCAGCACGAGCTGGAGGACCTGGGAAACTGGCTTGGGCCTGAAACCTCCAAGGTCAGAAGTCCTCCTCCACCCTAAGCCGTGGAGCCTAGGTCTCTAGTCTGGCTCGGTAATGGCCTCCAGAGCAAATCCCAACAGGAGGTAGGATGGCCCACCTAACCCAGCCAAGCCACGGAAGGTCTGCACCAAGGAGCTGCCACCTCTACGGTTGCAAAGGGAAGAGCCCCCAACATCTTCGGAGGCTGCCAAATGATTCCATGGCATGGAGAAGCTACGGCCCTCGCTTGCCCTTTTAGCTTTCTTGCATTTAGATCCAGCTGTTTTAAATCACTTTTTCATTTTTATTTAGTTTAATCGCATTTTATTTTGGCCACAGTGGGTAAAAGGATAGAAAAATCCCCACCACATTTTCTTTGCTGGGATTTGAACAAAAGAAATCATTTTATGATTATTGCCTTGTGACAAACTGCTCACAGACCTAATTTGATGTGAAACTGAGGGGGAAGATGAGTATTATCACTTAACTTTGATGTAATAAAATGCCTCTGCTTGCTAAGAAAGCAGAAAACTCCATGTTTATGTATGTGATTAACAGATTCTCTTTCTTTTTTATATGTCTTTCTTCTGCACCACGTTAGTGTTAGCAGGACAACACTTGGCTGTCTGCAGGCTAATATGGATGTGAAGGCATTTTTTCAAATCTGACAACCTCACTGGGTCCATTTTAGTGACCAAAATCACGCCTCTATTCCCCCTTAGGTCACGTCCTAGGAACACACACAACCCTTGGCTACTTTTCCGTCACTTCCCTGAACCAGGTCCTCTTCCAGAAACACCTCTGGTGAGCTGCCGTTGGATTTGTCCCTGGCTCCAGCCTCCTGAGTCCTACCAGCTGGCTGTCTGGGGAAGGACCGCACTAAAGAGGCAATTAAAACAACTACTCACATCGTGTGCAAATATTCTCTCCCTCACTCTCTGATATTCCTCTTCTCTCTCTTCAATTGATTTACTTCGTCTGTCATCTCTAAAGGGATGCATTCTGTTTTGCTGAACAGAAAAAAGAAATCAGTACGGTTATCCAAGTTGAGCTGCTGGAAATCTGCAGTTAAGCAACTGTCAGCTGAGAATAATAAATGTTCATTTAAATAAATGGAGCATGAAGAGTCTCATTCCCTCTGGTCCCTAAGGAGGCAGTGCTGGCATGTGTGGTGTGCCGTGTGTGTGCATGACACGCAGTGGCAGGTGTCTTCTGCTCCTGCGGGTCTCCCCACTGGATGCAGGGAGTACAGCTGTTTCCAGAACGAAAGCACCTGGACGTGTGTCAGGTGTTCGGCCAGCTCAGCTATGACGTGGGTCACAGGGAGGGACTCTGTCTCCTTTGCTAGCCCGTGTGCTTTGGAGTCCTTAGACAAAGGAGGAATGCTGAGGAAGTGGCTAGTTCAAGGCGGCTAAGGGAAGAAACGGCTCTGAAAACCTGGGCACTAGAGACACAGAACAAGGGAACCGAGCAAGTAATGGGCAGAAAGGAAACTGGACTTGATGTCTCCAGTCCTAATTTGTGTTTCTTCTTTACTCAGTGACTGATCCTGTGCCCTGCGTTTTTGCATAGAAGGTAGAAGCTAAATTTGAAAAGCTGTTTGTTGATTGAGGTCAATGCCAAGGAATCTAAAGTAACAATCCAAAGAACCCAGCATGAGGACTGTTCTTCAGCCTTGTATCTGCACCACTGCCTGCATCTCAACGACCCTCCCATCGTCTTCTTGCCATTCCTCACAAAATGCTCTGCATTAACCACGTTCATCCATCCATTCAACAAATGCCCACTAAGTACACGACACAGGCATGTGGCTCGGAGTCAACGGGAGCTACTTGTCACTTGATGGTGGTAGCGGTGGGGGTAGGAAGAAATGAGATACAAATGACGAACAGGTTTTTTTAAAAAAAGTGCGTCAGAGATGCACGTACTGGCTTCCAGTGACTCACTGAGAGCCATTAAAGTAATAACTTCAGCAAGATGCATATTGTCTTACCTTTAAGAATTCTAAAGCAAAGTCTATTTTCAAAAGATCTATTTTGATTGTCAGAGACACAAAGTGTAATTGTAATGGCATTATATAACTCCCTACTGTTCTAATTATTGTTTAACATTTGTTTTCTTTTGCCATTCACTTAGTTTTCTTCCTAATCACCCAGGATGCCACCCCCCCACCCCCAATCTGGAGAAGAGGTTTAGCAAAGTCTCTCTACCCTTGCCAAGGAACCATAAATAAGGCTACTCTAGGACAATGTAATGTTTTGTCACAAGCAAAATACACAAAAAGGATAAAGTTCTGCTACAGTGCATGCAAAACAAGCACACGGTTTACATGGACAGTAGAACATGGGAAGGAGGAGCGGGGAGACTAAAACATGAACTCGATTCTTTTCTGTGAAGACTTATTTTAGGAGAGTTGCAAAATCCACCTGTCCTCACCATAACAAGGTTTGTTCTTTACAGCTACACCAGTTGGTCATCGGTCCATATTGAGAATCCAGCTCAATTTGTGCACAACTGAAGGACAAAGCTGTAGGAGTGGAAGGACTGCCATAGTTACACAGACATCTGGAAATGTGATGACAAAGCTTTCCCCGACAGCTCCGGCTGGTGGCATCCCAACCCGCCCAACACATGCAGCAGGAACTGCGCCAAGCACCACCCATGCAGCCCAACACAGAGCCATTGCTGAAGCAATCAGGACATGTTCTCTTGGCTACCCACTGAATGCCAGAGGGGGAGGCGAGGGGGCAAGGAGGTTGGAAAGAGGACAGTCAGTATTGGAGGCGGGGCGGGGGGGGATGGGGAGCTGGGGGAGGGAGAAGGGGACAACAGGACGACAAGAACATAAGTCAGCCCACCTTCAAAAACAACAATGTCAGCCACTCTCAAACTTGAGAACCAACCTGATTGTCTTCTTTATCAATACTAGAGTTATCTCGCTTCAAGATAAACCGCTTCTGGGATTCTTCACCTTTTTCATCTTTTAAATGTTCACAAAACCTTTGCTCTGGTCTGCCAGCAAAGTAAAACATATCAATAAAAAAGTTTTCCCCCCTGTTTAAAGTTATTTTCTTAGTGCTGTTTTTCCCCCACAGTGGCATTCAACTTAAAAAAAAAAAAAAAAAAAAGAAGTTACGCATGGTTTTGACACTAGAATTGCCGGCATTATACAGATAGGTAATAATATGTCACTTCCCAGCTTTTGTTAGAATACCTTTTGTTGTTTGGAATTCGAAGCCTTGTTTGCTAAATGCTTCTCACCATGGCTGAAGTTAAAACATTTTAAAGGCCTGAACATATATAGCGTATAGATGTTTTCTTTCATTATTTTGACCTCCACCGCTCCTGAATTCAATCAAGTTCACAGCCACATTGTCAAACGAATGCACATGTTTAGAACTTGGGCAGGCCATATTAATTCACCAATGTCTGCAGACTAGGGGGACAGCTCCTGTTATATCGTCCCACTCAAGTGCCATTAGAATCCATAGCAAGAGAGGATCATCTATAAATTCTTTCCATCTTTCTCAATGACAAATGCTCTGGAATCTGGCTCCTGTAGACTCCAACATCCTTGACCATGTCTTGTAAATCAGTTCAGTAATTGGGGAAACAGGACACATTTAGTTTAAACAACTTAATGGCTGATTAGCATGGGGGAAATGCTCCAAGCAGTTACACACTATTGATTAGTCAATTGATTTTTTAGGTCCTCTTAATCATTTTGTATTATTACTGGAAAGGGCTCCACGTTCTTGTTAATTTCCCACACTCGTCACTGCATGCCACAGAACTCAATGAATGGCTCGGGCATGGGTTCACTCCCAGAGGAAGTGCTAAAATGTTTGTCCCGGGTTTAGAAGTTGTTATTGATGACTCTCATTAAAGCGTCTCTGTCATGTCTGATGTATTACTTCTGAAGCCCAGTGGGTTTTCTATCTCTACTGGGCTCATTATGCATTCTGTATTGGAAAGCCACTTCTCAGTGTCTGTTGTTTAATATAGGTGACCAGTAATTAAGGGAATCTCATAATTTCCTTCTAGCTCCCAAATAAGCAAACAGCACGTTGAAAACAAAGGAGTCGTTTAAGTGTATAGTTCAAATCTTGACAAGATGCATCCTTTACTCAAATACGTGTACACAGATTATACTGATCTGTGAGCAGACACTAACAGAAAATTGGAATAATACCAGTTACGGCTTCCAGAACTGTGTATGATTTTTGCAAAATGGTATCATTGTCATACTCAATCCTTACACTAAAACTCTGATGTAGGAGGAACAAATATTTCATGCCTCTTTTACAGATAAAGAAACCATCCCTCCGTGATCCTTTTGACTCCCAAGTTTATAGATTTTCCCAGCAAGCCACAGGCATCAAACAGCCTATTCACATCCTTGCAGAGATGTGATTCAGTCTCTCTGCTTCCACAGCACACAGCAAGCCAGAGGCCCTCCAGCCTCACAAGGAAGAACAAAACCCCTGCATGACATCATCCGAAAGATCAATGGAGATGTTTTCCACCAAAATTAAAATGTAAAATATGATACAACAAACAATCTGCAAGTGCAAATATGGCATTTGAAAATGAGAACACTAAGGGAACAAAGTAAACTTGCACTTTACGGTGAAAAGGCCATTTCCAGTGGAGAAATTAAACGTGTCTTGTGTTGCATGCTTATAGCACACTTCTTATTCCACTGGATAGTCTTATAATGTTAGTGTGAGTATGGGCAGGCCACTGTAAATGATAACAATTCTCCAGGAATTTTTTTAAAGCCTCTTAATGTTTTCAGCCAATACTTAGATGTTACCTTTTTTTTTTCTTTTTTTTAATGTAGCAAGTGAAATTGGGATATCAACTTAGATACAAATGCTGATTGTGTCAATGCTAAGTAAGTCTCTCTGAATGTACTTAAACTCCATAGTCTGGTGAATTCTAGTAGATAAAATGCTTTGCTTGCTGCTAAGTTTACAGATCTATTTCTTATATTTGTTGCTAATAGTCTGTAACTGTTCATTTAGATATAAAGTGGTCTGGAAATGTGAACTTTTTTTTTATTATTATTTTTTTAAAGATTTTATTTATTTATTTGAGACAGAGAGAATGAGAGACAGAGAGCATGAGAGGGAGGAAGGTCAGAGGGAGAAGCAGACTCCCCGCCGAGCAGGGAGCCCGATGCGGGACTCGATCCCGGGACTCCAGGATCATGACCTGAGCCGAAGGCAGTCGCTTAACCAACTGAGCCACCCAGGCACCCAGGAAATGTGAACTTTTTGATTCACGAGCAGAAGGTGAATTTGCTTTAGGCTAACTTCTTTAAGAAGAAAACTGCTTTGAGATTTCAGCATACTAACCAGGGTGAGAATGCGAGCTCCCTGTTGGTAGAGACCTTGTTTTTTAAAGACTTAATTCTTAGTGCCTAGAATGGTGCCTGGAATATGGGAAGCATTTGGTTGAATAAATAAATTAACCTATGTATGAACAAATGAAAATTTAATAGAGCTGTTTATAAATCACTGTATTTTAGAGACAGATCAAAGAGTCACTGAATAAGATATGCAGTCATAAATTTTTAAATTATAAAATGACAAGAGAGAGTTTGGTTCGTAGAATCATAAATTCAAATTTAGAACATGAGGAAGATCTTTAAAAATCAAATTTATCTTTTGGTTCAAGTTGACCAAAAAGGATCATGTTACTTTTAAAAAGTTTTTAAAATTTGAGGGGCTTTTGGGAAAAGAGGTGGAAATGAGAATCTCAGGTTTTTTTTTTTTTTTTTTTTTTTTTGTTTTTAGTTTTGGAACTTCTCAGTTTAAAGTGTTATAGCTACAAGAGCTGTTCAAACATTATTTTTGAAATTTCATTTGCATTTCCTCATAGTGCTGGCTTATTTGGTTTTCATAGCAGAACTTATTTAGGAAAAATACATCTATCACATAAGAAAAGAATAGTCAAAGGAGCTTGTTCTAATCAATAATGTAAATGTGATTCAGAGCAAAAGTATTTCTTGTTCTGATACATATTATGCAAAGTGCATTCTCCATAATAGCTTTTCAAAAATATCTTGTTTAAATTTTTTTTCAGACTTTAGAACCTAATAGTCGAAATTATTAGTTCCTTCATGATTTTCCAAAACTATTTTAAGTGATTACAAAATAACCACTTGAAGTTTGTGTAAAACGGGGCGGGCGGGGGCCTAATAAGATTGTTCCAGGTTGATTTTTTCGGGAATTATCTATTACTCTAGAGTTAAAGGGTAATTTGCAGTTTAAACTCAGGCAAACTAAAGTATACAACTGAAGTTTTGCATGTGATTGAACTACAAATTACTGGTAATGCACCATTATATTAGAGCTTTTAAAAATCCTTTTTACCACAAGTTTAACATCATAGTAATGTTTTTTCTTAGCCATAAAAATGAATGGAATAGAAGTAATATATTATGGACCTTTGTTTAAAATGGGAATGAATAACTTTCGGGGTATCAATATGAGGATGTAACTCTAAGACAAACTCCTCCAAGCTGCAAAATGTTATGGTATTTATTAAATTAATGATAACTAGAGTTGATTACATACATATCTCCTAGTCATGCATGACACATGTCTAATTGCTTTTTCCTGATGGACAATAGTCCATGAGGTATTATCTCTAGCTTTCTCTCTATCATCATCAAGAAGCAGAGAAAAGGGATTTAATGTTTCTTCTTGATGAAAAGATAGTTTCTTCTTCTTAAGGCACAATCTGTAGTAGGTATTTATTGTAAAACTCATTGTTCGTGTGTGGTGAACAGTACTGACATTTCCAGTCAGTGTCTTGGTATCTCCAAACAAACCTCTGAAAAATCAGAATTAAGTCCTCATTGTTCCTCATTAGACACGGCTCAGGAACTGAGAGGCAGTGTGGCTGAGTGAAACCCTGAGTAATACATTCAAACTCTGTCTTCTAGTCAATCTGTTACAATTTTAGGTTTTTTTTTTCCTCCTTGAAGCTTAAAATAAATGAACACTCATTATTATTTTAAAAATCTTTTTCATCTAGAAATATTTTCACCACCAATTTCTTGAGACCAAATTTATTAGATTTCTTCCAAATAGTTAAGCCTAATCCCCCCATTCCCCACATATACACAGATGAAAAATTCAATTCTACTAAATATGGATAGGCTCAAACGGATGCCTTTGAATTTCATACCGAATAAGTGAAAGACAGTCATCAATATGCATAAGTATCTTAACAAAGAAAGGTTTCTGTGCACAATAGGATACAATATTTTGATGGTCTAAGACATCTATCAAAAATATTTTAATAGTCGAACATATTAGGGGAGTCTAAGAAGCACTGTTCCCTTAGTACTTTTAAGTCAATTAAAATATTTATAGCTGATGTCTTTAATTTAAAAAATAAAGTCCTACATTCTTCTTCAAGTATTTTGCAACATCCCCTACCATTTGGTCATTTTATACCATTTCATTGTCTTTTAAATGAGACCACATCTTACAAACCCCATATATGCAGTGCTAAGTACCCAGCTTCCTTTATTCACATCTTTCAAATTCACGTTCTCAATTTTCTATACCTTTGACAAAATCATTTTATTCTTCTTTGTCTCGATTGTGCATAAAAACAGAGACATGCAAGCTAACATGGGACTTGACCTTGACCCTCCTTTAACATAAGGCTATTCATGAGCGACAACAACGTTAAGCAGAATGCCCAAAACAACAAAGGTCTATAAGGCATCTCCTTGTATTGGTGCCAGTACCCTGGAAAGCAGGCTATTTGCATTAAAAGAGCCTTATAATTGTCAGTCCACCTTGACAAAGGGATTCCATTTCCAAGAATGAAGCCAAATAAAATAGTAACACATGGATACACAGTGTCATTGTTCAAGACAGGGAAACAGTGGATATCCAGGTGGCCTGATTAAGTAGCTTAAAATATCTCCGTATGTAATATGCAGCTCTATAAAATGATATCCAAGGCTACCAACATAGAAAAGTGAT